ATTTTTAATTTCTTGAGGAATTCCAGTACTGTTTTCCATAAAGGATGCACTGTTTTACAGCCCCGTCAGCAGTATATACAAAGTCCAGTTTCACTACATCCTCATTAACATTTGTCATTTCTCTTGTCTATTATTATTTTTTAAATAATGGGCAGCCCAATAGGTGTGAGGTGATATAGTTCCTGTGGATTTGATTTGTATTTCCCTGATAGTGATGCTGAGTATCTTTTCATGATTATTGGCCATTTGTATATCATCTTTGGAAAAAATGGCTCTTCAAGTCTATTATACATCTTTCTGATGCTGTGACAAAATATCTAAGAAAAATCAACTTATAAGGAGCAAAGATTTATTTTGCTTTCAGAGGCTTTAGTGAGTGATTGCTTGGCTCTTGCCTTTGAGCCTGCTGTGAGGTAATACATCATGGCAGGGAGCATATGGCAGAGGAAGCTGGTCACCTTGTGGCAAGGAAGCAGACAGGGAGGGGAAGGAGCTGGGGTCAAACAGCCCCTTCAAGGGCACTCCCCCAATAGGCTAACTCTTTAATTAGGACCCATCTCCTAAATGTTCCCCTACCACCCAACAGCACCATTACCTGGGGAATAGGCCTTTAACACACGAACTTTTGGGGAACATGTAGGATATAAAACACAACAAAGTCCTTTGCCCATTTAAAAAATTGGATTATTGAGGTTTCATTTTTGTGAAGTTATAGAAATTCTTTATGTATCCTAAGTATTAACTTTTTATATGATACATGATTTGAGAGTATTTTCTTTCATCATGTGGGTTGCCTTTTTACTTTCTTGACTATTTCCTTTGCCTTGCAGAAATTTTTAGTTTGACAAAGTTTGTCTATTTTTTGCTTTTGGTTCCTGGACCTTTGGTTCTAAATCCAAGAAATCATTGCCCATTCCAACATAATCTTTCCATCTATGTTTTTATCTAATTTAGTTTCAGGTCTTACTTGTAGATCTTTAATCCATCCTGAGCTACTTTTTGTATATGGTGTAAGATAAGGGTTCATTTTCATTCATTTGAGTGTGAATATGTAGTTTTTATGTCACCATTTAGTAAAGAGACTGTCTTCTCCCCATTATGTAGTCTTTACATCCTTGTTGAAGATTATTTGACCGTATAGTCCATGGTTTATTTTTGGACTCTGTTCCATTGGTCTGTATATGTCAGTCTTTATGCCAGTATTATTACTGTTTTGATTACTGTAGCTTTACGTCTGTGGTCATACCTCCCCGAATGTGCCTTATCTCATATGATTATTGTAGCTTTGAAATTAGGATGTGTAAGGCCCCCCTAGTGTTGTTCCTCTTTCTTGAGATTATTTTTGCTATATGAGGTCCACTGAGATTTCATAAAAATTTTAGGATTTTTGTTAATTCTGCAAAAAATTCAAATAGGATTTTGAAAAGGAGTGCATTAAATCTGTAGTTTGGTTTGGGTGTGGACATTTTAACCCATTAAGTCCCAAAGGGTTATGTATATTTTGAAAATAAGTTGTTGGTTTCACATGGCATGGACTGTTTTGACATTGTCATCATTCTGGCCTTTTGAAAGTAATATGGCTTCTCATATCAAATCTGGTATCATTTTGGACAGTAATAGGTCTGGGAGTGTATACTTTCTTTGTTCTCCTGATGATTTCTGTGGCATTGTTTTATGTGTGTCGAACAGATGTCTCTTGACAAAAAAAATGAATTTTTTTGTCTTTGTCACAAATTTGTGAATAATCCATGCATTTATTTTTTTTTAAAGTTTTTATTTGTTCTCTTTACATATATATGACAGTAGAGTGTATTTGACATATTATACATACATGGAGTATAACTTCCTGTTCTTGTGGTTGTACATGATGTAGAGTTATGTTGGTAGTGCATTTATACCCACACACAGGAAAGTTATGTCTGATTCATTCAGAGTTTTCCTAATCCATGCATTTGTGAGACCCATTTCAATTATTCAAGTGAAAAAAGGTCAATTTTTTTTTACCTCTGCTAAACCAGCCAATTATGTTTTTCCCATATTGTCATTGAAATTGTTATAGGTATCCACTACCTTTGTTTGAGGCACATTGGCTCTACTCTTTCTTTTTTTCCATCATTGAATAACCCTCTTTCTTATTTTTTTAATCAGTCTTTTCAGTTTCAGAGGATACTTGTTTAGTCTGTTTTCCTTCATGGTGCCTGGTTGTTTGAGTTTCTGTTTCAAAATAAAATAAATGAAAAGGGCTGGGAATGTAACTCAGTGGTAGAGCACCCCTGGATTCAATCTGCAGTATGAGGGATTGGGGGAGGGGGCAGAAATCCACCAGAATGTGATTGTAGATTCCTAACTTCAAGCAGTTGTAAAACTAACTTGCTCTCAGGACCTTTGCTCTATCACTGAGCCACAGCCCCAACCCTGAGATACCAATTTTGAAATAAATGACAGTGTGTTTAGTCAACAGGTAAAATAAAATATTGAGAATATTGTGAACCAGGTTTCTTACTATTACAAATGGAAAGGGGGAAATTAGAATGGATTTTGTGTTGTTGAATTGGAATTAGAATAATAGTTTGAACTCACTATTTTCAGTATTGATATGGATAAAATAGATTTTTGTATAAATACATGTTTATATTTATATTCCCTTATATTTGGAAAAGGCTTAGAATAAAAATGACCCAAGAATACTGAGTACCCCTATTTTCAAGCTCTCGGTTTCTAAATACCATTTATTCTTCACTAAAAGAAGCTAGTACTCTTAGGAAAAATGTATTCAATTCCAGGGCTGGAAAGTACTAAATGAACCTAGAATAAATGAATGAAAAAAAATTGTCTATCAATTGATCAATTGATTGTTTGAGCAATCACAGTACTAGAAATCAAACCCAGGGCTTTATGCATATTAAGCAAGTGCTCTACCACTGAGCTACATCTCCAATCCTTTAATTTAAATTTCCTGTTTTGAGTTTTATGTTTTCTCATTAAGTTGCCCAGGCTGGCCTTGGATTTTTGATCAGCCACCAGATAGCTGGGATTATAGTTGTGTACCATTGTGCCCCATTGACTTGATTGTTTTTTCTTGCAGTACTGGAAATTGAACCCAGGCCTTTGCACAAGATAGGCGAGTGCTCTGCTGCTGAGTTATATACCTATCCCTTTTTAAAAATTTTTATTTTGAGACTGGCTCACTAAATTACTGGATGTAACTAGCAGTTACCATCTTAACCAAGTACTTAAACTATCATCAGTAATGGAGCAGATGCTACCTGACATCGTGTTTTGAAAAAGAAACATTTCTTCTATGATATCCCTGCCAAAATGCATAACCTGAATCTAATTATGAGGAAATATCAAAGAAATTCAAATTAAGGTATATTTGACAGTCAGTTTGTCCCAAAATTTCAAGGTTATAAAAGACAGAAAACTGAGACTATTCTAGATTATAGGAGAAAAAAAGACATAGGACAAATAAATATAATGTGTGATCCTGTATTAGATCCTCAATCAGGAGAAAAGGAACAGTAGGACATTATTGGGACAGTTGGCTAAATTGGAATATGGATTGTGAGTTAGATAATAGTGTGTATCAATGATGGATTTCTAGATTTGAATAAATGCACTGTGATTGTATTAGAAAATTGTTTGTTCTAAGGAAATACATATTGAAGTATTTCTAGAATAAGAAGTGCTTATATTTGATCTCATCAATTCATGTTGTTAGTCCTAAAGAAATTATTAGACTGTGTATTGAGGCAAAAATACTGAATCATTCTTGCTATGAATAGTAGCAAAAAAAAATAACATAATATTTAATATTAAGGGGAAGCTTGAACAATGGCACATTTCTACAGTGAAATATTGTGGAGCCCTTTAAAATTATGTTGTACCTCTATATAGTATGACGTTTCTAGTTTTAGTAGATTTTCTTTGTTGCAAGAAACAGATGCTAACTCAGGCTACCTAAAACAGCTGGGGGTAGGCCACAGAAGCAAATAGAACACATGAGAAATCCTTAGAAAGGGTGAGAGAACTTTGGAGAATCTCACCTTGAAATTCAAGGCCTTTCTTCTTTTTAGTGCACTGTCATCAGTGTGACTCAGCCCTAGGATTTCAGTTCCTGATTCAGTTTAAATTCCCTAAAGAAGGATCTGGTTGGATCATCTTTTCTGAGGGCACAATTACGTTTCAGAGAGAGGCTTCAAAGGAAGGATGGATAGCATGTAGACTGAGGCCATTCCTAAACAAGAAATTGTTGTGAACTGGGAAAGCCACTTTGGTTGTTATCTTACTTCAGTTGGTTATTCAACCTCTCAGCATTTTATAAGAAATTTTTTTTTAAAGCAGAACCCAAAATATTGTATACAGTGTGATCCTGTTTTATAGGAATGCAGGGTGAATTTACAGTGGGAATGGAAAATCAAGAGTTTTGTTTGGATATGTTTGAGATTCCTGTTAGGAGGAAGAGCAAGTAGAGTTGAATTCTTTTGTAGCCAAAGTGGCAAACAAGTAACATCTGTCCTTATATTTTTCTAGATCAAAATCATCCCTTGTGTTCCTGTGGCATAGAACTGAGGGGTCTCAACCAAGTTTTCTTTCAGACAGTTAAGCAAACCCTAAGCTTCTTATTTTTGAAAAATAATGAGTCTCCTCTAGGCACCTGCACAGCACTCATTTCACTTAGAGGTGGGATTTGCTCCTGGCATAGATGCATGTTAGACTGTACCCCTCCCCCCATCTCAGTCAACTTCTTGTCTGGTATGTCAGTCACATAATCATTCTGGATTCATTTTTCTCCTTTGTTAAATTGTCCTCGACTTCTTTTGTTCCTATTTTTGGTTTTTCTTTTTAATTGGTGTAAATTAAAAGATTAATAAAAATCACCTACACATCCCCTTTACGTTTTTTAATAATTAAGGCAGCAATAAATAGTTCAGTTTACATCAGTAAACATGTTACAAGCCAGAATAAATGCAAATAAATGCAACTGTTTGACTTTTCAGATATCCACACAGAAGCAGTTCAAGCTGCACTGGCAAAACATAAGGAACAAAAAATGGCTTTGCCCATGCCCACCAAAAGACGGTCCACATTTGTCCAGTCTCCTGCAGATGCTTGTACGCCTCCTGGTAAGTTTATCAAAACCCTTTCTCTCTAACAGTTACTATCTTGATGTTCTTGAGTTAAGTTCTGCCTTTTCTTTCTGGAAATAGAAGGTGGAACTCACTCTGCATCATCAAAATTATATAAGAGCATACTCTGAAGGCGGCAGGTTTTGATTATCACCTTATAAATAACGCATGAAAAGAAGCCTTAAGAGTAAAGCTTTTTAAAAAACAAAAACTTTTATTCTGAATTTCCAGCATTTCCTTTTTAACCCCCAAATTCATGTAGTCATGAATAAACACAGGTCAGGGCCCTGCTGTGATTAAATAGTGTTTTTATGGACACCCAAAATATGTCTGATAATCATATATTTACTCCATCTCTGCAACAGTAATAGTAGTAGGTGTACTTGAAACAGGATTTTGTGTGTCATTAAAGACTATAGGAGCGTACTCTTGCAGATATGTAAAAATGTGGAAATGTGTTAGTGTATTGATATATCTATATACATTTTAGTTTGTTCAGAATCTACTTTTTCTATTGGGGTCCTGAGATCAGTAGGAATTAGATATCTTTATTCCATTCCCTCAGCAGACTTAGAGTCTTTACGCCCCCTCAGGTAAATTTAAGAGTTACAGCTGCCTATTTGAGAAACGACTGCAACAACCTTAAGTTATCTAGTCTTTGCAGAATCTTTGCCACAGTTTTTCTTTTTTTCCTCTCCTTTTTTTTTTTTTTTTTTTTTGAGGGCAGGATACTGATGATTGAACCCAGGGGTGCTTAACCACTGAGCCACACCCCCAGCCCTTTTTATTTTTATTTTGAAATAGTCTCACTGAATTGCTTAGGGTCTTGCTAAATTGCTGAGGGTGACCTTGAACTTGGAATTTTCCTGCTTCAACCTCCCAAGCCGCTGGAAAGCATGCACCATTATGTCAAGTTTTGCCAAAGTTTTTAAAAACCTTTAAAATATATATATATTTTTAGATCAATCCTAGACAAGATCTTCACATAGGTGTCTGAGACTAAACATAGTAAATCTATTTCCGAGCCTCAATGCGGTGTCTGTCTCTGTAGTGTCATATTCTGCTAATGAAATCTTTGGAGAAAATTTTCCCCCATACTGTTTTGGCCTAGCATGTCTATGGGGAGATTCCTAGGAAAGTTGCATTATTGTGTTTGATTTTTATTCACAGTTGTCACGTTGTCGAACTATTCATACTGAGCCTATTCTCTCATCCAGACTCATTAATAGTTTTCTCCCAGATTTTGGCTAACTTTCAGAGCATTTGGGTGTGCTGTGAGCTCATGAACTGTGTGTGCTTTTTTCCTTCACATCTGTGGTGTCAATATGTCTGAAAGAGAAATAGCTCTGTGGCTTCAAGTGTTGCTCAAAATGTAACACAAGATACCTCTAGCAGACCGTCACAATAAGGCATTTTTGTCTGTAATGATGCATACTTCAGACCCACTCATTCAAAATCTTGGATGGGTTCCCTTCCACATTAGTATAGCACAAATTGGGTCCTCATGGACAAAGGGGGCTCTCAGTTTAGTAGCCATTTCTTGTTGGCAGATGCTACTGCAGAGTGGTAGAGGGTTCAGTTGCAGTAAATGGCAAAGGGTAGGGAGCAACAGGACATGTAGTTCTTCGAAATAATCCTCTCCAAAGCTGTATTAAAGCAATCCAGTTTCAGAGTAAATAGGCTGTTCTCATTGCTATGGGTTAAATGTGAGAGTGCAGCAAAGGATCTTGAGAATGCTCAGAAAGAGTGTAAACCTCTTTTTATCCCCTTTTATAAAAGTCACTGCCTGAGGGAAATTTACCAGTCTAGAAACAAATCACAGCTGTTTGGTGCTGAATGAGACCATAGTCCTTTGGAATTCACTGTAGGCTTCTGTATTTCTAACTACTAATGTTCTACTCTTTCTGCAGCCTTGGAGATGTACATGAAGTTCTTGATTGCATTATGTATTTTTTTTTTAAATTTCCTGATTACAAAGATGTGCTCCTCTCTTATAAGACATGTATTCAGCAGAGCAGAGTAATAAAAAGTTCCAAATCCATTTATCTTCTGTTCTGGGGATCTCTGAATAGTATTTGAGAAACCCCAATTTGTAATTAGGAACATCTGTATTGTTAAGTAGATCGGAATTCTCTCCCATCAAGAGGAAACATTGAGAACACCTGCATAGTGATTTCTCACTTAGACTCCCCAATAGATCTTGATGCTTTCATTCAACAATTATGCACATGCCTAGAACAAATACTTTGCTTTACTGAGGGAATGTGGGAAGAACTACATCATAAGGTTTCTTTTAGCACCCTCCATTTTAGCAGGTAGAATTTACTGTTCTCACATTAGAATTTGAATTCCATTTTCTCCAAGCTTTTCAGAACCACCAGGTAAGAAACTTGGCAATCTCCCTATTTCTCGTTGCAGTTTAAGCATCACATAGCATCTGTTATAGGATAACCCAGGGATGTCAAATAGGTTTTATTTTCCATATCTACTGTGATAGCCCATGAAACACCCAAGTTTAGAAAAATTCTGAGCTGCATTCAAGAATGAGGAAGAGGAATAGAATTGTGACAGTATTGTTTAGAAGAACTGAGGGTGGATTGAAAGAAATAGGAGGATGGAGGAATTGAAATTATTGCTTGTTATTGGCTGTTTCTAAAAATGTCAGCTCTGACCAGCTATAAAATGACCTAAAAAACATGTGCCACTTTGGGAGGGAAATATTCACCTGAGATTTCATAATATTTTCATTATCTTTCTTTGTAAACTGTTATGTCACACACCACAGAGCACATTTCAGGTCAAGTCTTGTACTCTGCTCACGTTGTCCTGTGTGAACTTAGTTTCTGGGGCAACTCCTAGAACATACTAACTAGTTAGCCTCTTTGCCTTCCTGGGGAGGCACACAACACATAAGTGACTTGATGAAAATGTAGGGTTCTTTTGAAGGCATTTAAGGAATATGTCATAAATCTTGGCTTCATTTAAATAGATAGTTAGTCTGGAAAATTTGGTGAATAGTTGGCAAGGGAAATAATTTATCTTTGTTCACAAATTATTCTCAAGTAATAATATGTCAGCCTAAAATTTTCTTATTGATATGTACACTGATTTCTACCATCCATTGGAAGATTTAAGTTCTCTTAAGTCAGTAGCAATCTATGGTTCTTTCAGTGCCTGTGGTACAGAGTGCCACAGAGTGTTTTGGACTGCTTGAATTACTGCCATCTAGTTCCCTTTATATGCGGAAATCACTTACTAAAATCATGAGGCAATTACCTCAGCTTTTCCTTTGTAGGGGTTCTTTGTGTAACACTATTACTCACTCATAGAGAAAAAACAATGCAAAAAACTATAGCATTTATTTATATTTTTCCCCTCTGAGCTTTTTCTGCACTCTGCTGGACTTATCCTTTGCAGCATTCTAGGGGTACACAGGTGACCAGATAGATTACATAATGACCCTAAAACATATAGTAAGTTATTCAACTGGCTTGGGTAGAGAGGAGCTTCAATTTAGTCATCTGTCTCAAATAGGACCCTGTTTGGTCAGTGGCTTTAATAATTCTTAGGGCCAGAAGAGAAACTTAGCTCTATATTTCTATATATGAAAATGATGCCCATGAACAGACTAGGATATTATTATACTTTGGACATATTTTAACTAGGTTTATGGATTTATAGTGCTTTACATCCTTCAGAGGACTTTCCATAGTCATTGATTGGCCCCATGTCAAATAGCAATTAAGTGTCAAACTTAAAGTCTTCTTGCTTACTACCCTTCTAAAGTATCATGTGTAGGAAATCCTTTTCATCTAATTAGTTGCTCATGTTTGCCTGATGCTAGAATGAGAATTATTCCAAACTAATTAAATAAACCATTGCCTTTTGAGAGGTTACTCCCAAACACATATCAGTCAGTTAAAAGGAATTTATTTAAAAGAGAATACCTGTTGAATTACCAGCTTGGGGAATTTTCCCCAAAATACTCTAATTTTATTCAAAACCACAAAGTAAACAGAATTGGTTGGTAAATTGGATCTTTATAAATAAACTAATTAATAGCTTTGTATCATTTTAATAGAATACTTTCATTATTACTTCAGGAACTAAGTTTCTATAAGCCAAAGTATAGTAAAAAACTTACTCTATCAGGTTGAATTTGTATATTTCAATAGCTGATTATAAAATTTAAAACTTGACAATAGAAGTAGTTTTATAATTATATAACATTACTGAATACCCTCTGGGTACCAAAGAGAGAAGAAAGAGAAAGTGAGAGAAAAAGAAGCATGTACAAGGACATATGAGTAAACTAAAAAAAAAAAAACTAACTTGCCAGCAAAAGAAAATGTCAAGAAAAATTGCCTTTTGACTGCCTTTGAGATAGCACAACCGGAAATCTTCCCTAGGACTTGTGGTCAGTGGTTACAAAGTTTGAATGTTACTACTTGATTGATAAGAACCAACATTAACAATCGGTCTTAGGCTAAGACATCCCTGGGGTACAGATGGTCTCTAAAAGGACACATCCTCAGCCAGGGATATAGGATTCTCAGAGATAAAGATCCATTGAATGGGAACTAGTAAGACAATAGTGGAAGTAATCTACCATTGAAAGGGAAAGACTGAGGGTGTGGCTCAGTGTTATAGGCCCCAGTACCAAAAAACAAAAGCAAAACCAAACAAGAAAACCCCAGACTAATAAAAAGAAAAAAACAGAATGAAGATTCCCCCCGCCATCTGATTTTCCCAGTAGCTATTTGTGGCAGAGCTAAGTTCTAAATCCAGAGCAATCTGATTTTAAAAGCCTAATTTTCAAATAAGCAATTTAATGGGAGGGAGGAACACCCTTTTTCTCCCAGTGTTAATTAGAGCATTAATTTATTTTGTAAACTTCCCCCCCACACACACACAGGTATATGAGAAAATACCTAGGAAAGCAGTATTTGAGTAATTATTAGTAGTGAGTACACTGTCTCCCAAAGGTATCCCAGTTT